CCTTCCACTTAATTATTCAGCCTCATCTTATATTGTTTTAATGCATTTTAAACATTTTTATCTTTTAAAACCACAATCGCCCCTCTATTTTTGCAGACTTGGTGCCCATGTCCCTAGCACGTTCGTGGGTGGCAAACGGATGGGCACACACTGTCATTCAAGCCAATAGGGGTTGAATATTTGTAATTTTCCGTTTTTGTGGGTGGCTGGTCTGGAATGGATCTCCCGCAAAAACGGAGAGCCGACTGTATTGCAGTAATTTAATTTGATTTTAATGTACTATTTTTGTATGCTTTTAATTGTACTGTTTTTTAAATGTTGTAAGTCGCCCTGAGTCCCAGTCTTGGGAGAAGGGTAGGATAGAAATATCTTCTTCTTCTTCTTCTTCTTCTTCTTGGTTTCAGGACTTTTTTTATTTGGCACTTCTTTTTGGAAGTCAAGTTTTTCTCAAACCTAATTGTTCTTAAAATGAAATGTCAGATTTATTTCTGTTTCTCCTTTCAGTTAATTCTCTCTGGTTATTGTTGCCTTATTTTTTCTCTTCCTTTCCCCCAGACTCCTGTCATGTACCTCTTGAGTCCTCCTTTCTTTTAAATGAATGTCCTCCTAGATCAGTTGCCCATTGTCTCCAGATTTTGGATTTCTTTGTATTCTACAAAAGAGCTAGACAATTTTGTCATCCTTCCTGTATGAGTCACTGTAAAGCTTTCCTTGTTGCTACTACAACCTCTCACCTCAACCTACTTTCTTCTGTTCTTCATGTTGCTGCATCTTGGGTCCCTTTCAGCACATAATTTCAGCCAAACATCCTACTCTTTTCCTTGTTTACACATTACAGGGGTTGTTCTTCTTGTTGTTGTGTGCCTTGAAGCCATTTCTGACTTACGGCAACCCTAATCATGGGATTTTCGGAATTTTTAGGTTTTGTCTACAGTGTATTAACATATATGTATGGAGATTTTAATGTTGTAAGCCGCCCCGATTGCTCTGCAGAGGGGCGGGATATAAATAAATATAAATAAATAAATAAATAAAAAATAAAATTTTCTTGGCAAGATTTGTTCGGAGGAGGTTTGCCATTGCTTTCCCCTGAGACTGAGAGAGTGTGACTTGCCCATGGTCATCCAGTGTTTTGTGGCCAAGCAAGGAATTGCACCCTGGTCTCCAGAGTTGTAATCCAGCACTCAAGCCACTATGTCACATTATTCTTACATAAAATACAATGGGTGAGGGACTGAAGATATATATAAATACATATGTGTATAGCTACACAGACACACACTTATATATATAGCTCATTTCACACACACACCCCTGAAGTCATTCACTTGTGTTATTGGTGGTGGTTTTAGTAACTTCTTATGTTGCTTGTCTTACATTGCTTGACTCAATACATTTCCATTACTTTTTAAAAATCCATCTTAAAAAGTGAGAAAATGACCTAAACTTGGGGAGGGAAAGGATTCTTCAAAACTTTCCTAAGATCATTTTAGCACTCTAAAAGTAACAAGAATTTAGTAGTGAATAAATGTTACTTTTCTCTTCCTCTCCCTTTCTTACATAAAATCATTTTATGTAGTCGTCGGTCACATTGTTTTGCAAAAGAAACTTCATTATGCTGGTTGCTGGTTAACATAGGGGGTTGCAGACTGCCAGAAACAGTGCAAATTGAACCCACTTTTAGGGTTAGGGTTAGTGCTAGGGAATCATGGGAATTGTTTTTTTTTTTCTGAGACATTGAGCCTTCTCTGTCAGAGAGCTCTGGTGCCACAATAAAATACAGTTCCCATGATTCCCTAACCCTAACCCTAAAAGTGGACTCAATTTGCACTATTTCTGGCAGTCTGCAACCCCCCATAATTACTTGTGATGCATTCCTTCCAAGCTCTGGTGATATGATATGGCAGAGCTCCTGCTATGCCATTGCACTTTCAGATATGTCAATGCCATCATGGCAAAGAGGTTGGCATAACTACTCATAATTTTAGCAGAATATGTTGGTGCTGCATGCCTCTCTTATGCTAGTAAAGATCTGTCAGCAAAATAGCCAGAATGGACCATAGGTATATGTGTATACAGAGGAGCACATTGAAGTTCTACTCTTTGTTATGTGTCTTCAAGTTAACTCCAGCTTATGGTGAGTCTATTCTAGGGTTTTACTTGGCAAGATTTATTCAGAGGAGATTTGCCTTCCTGAGGCTAAGGAAGTGTGACTTGTCCAAGGTCATGCAGGGATTTTCCATGGCTGAGCTGGATTCAAACCCTGGTTCCCCAAAAGACTACTATGTTAGGTTTTAGTGGAGTAGCGTGCTTGTAGATCCAGCAGAACCAGGGAACAAAATCCAAGCTTCTAAAAGTTGAGCTTTTATTGTTATTGTTGAAAAAAATAATAACAACAAGCAAAGTAAAATACAGTCCACTATAGGATCACATCTTGCTGATGTGGCTAGACAAGAATAAAACTACAGATCCATGTTCCCAGATTTTAAGGCTACATTGTAAAGCAATATAAACATATTATAGATCCATTGCGAGAAGTAAAGAGAAGAAGAAAGAGCAATCCGACGGAAGCAAATAATAATAATATCAATGCCAAACACAGAGTTTCTCAGTCCAGCCCCTCTCCACCTTTTTGGGTGTTAACCTTCAAGTTGATTGGATGTTCTGTGTGTGATGTTTGTTAACCCAGTCTCTTGTTGTTCATCATCCACTATGTGATCTACTTTCCCATACTAGCTTTTATTATTGTTATTATTATGTAAACAAGGCTGCTTTCCCAGCTAGAATCTTCTATTATGTCTCTCTGGCCATCTGGATTGAGTTGCTTGTGCTTTGCCTAGAAGCTGTTCTCAAGTGGAAAATTACACACACACACATCTCTACATTTCACCTTTGACTGCATAGCCCATCTATATTCTGACATACTACACCACACTGGCTTGCCAAGTTGTATTCTTGTTGTTGTTGTGTGCCTTCAAGTCATTTTTGACTTATGACGACTTTAAGGAAAAGCTATTATGGGGTTTTCTTGGCAACGTTTGTTCAGAGGAGGCTTGCCGTTGCCTTCCCCTGAGGCTGAGAGAGTTTGACTTGCCCAAGGTCAACCAGTGGGCTTCATGGCCAAGCTGGTCTTCACTCAAACTACTGCGCCATGCCTGATTCCCATCCTTTTTTCAAATATTGCAACTTCACATTGAACTGGAGTTGGGGAGGAGAATTTCCACCCCACCAAATGCAGTAAAGATGGGAAAATAAGCAATAAATAACCTACCACTATCACTGCTGCCAACATCTGTTGTGCAATTAAGCATGAGATATGGCACAACTCAGCATGCAATTCACATTTTTAGCACAATACCAATACCAATCCCAAGACACAGGGAGCCCAGAATTCAGGTGATAAGGTGCATAGCATGGAGACTATGAAATATCTTGCCTGCAATGGTGCATGCTTGGAACATGTGAGGGAAGGCTCAGGCAAAGTGGAAGCAGGGAGAGAAAGGGCACTGACAGCAGCGATGTTTAATGTGTTACTAACACTTCTCTGCTCTGAGCCTTTATATTTGGGGTGGGGATGTACACATGGTCCTCCAAACAGATTGGACTGTTGTCAACCAATGGCTAAAGTGGTTGGAAGTTGTAGTGTAACATCTGGCAGGCCACAGCTGGACACCTTACTCAGATGATTTTTAAATGATGATTTTTAAATGATGAATTTTAAATGTGGATTATTTCAGAATGTCCATGTTTTATTTGCCCCTTTAAACTCTTGCATATTTTAATTGATGTTTTTGTTGTTGCTGCTGCTGTTATTATTATTATTATTATTATTATTATTATTATTATTATTATTATTATGGCATTCTGGGGTACTAGTTGAGAATACTATACACAGGTAGGCAATGAAAGAGGACTACCCTGTTGAGACAGCAGAGCAAATTCAACTGTTTTTGTATTATCTCCCTCCCCCAGTCTGCATGTGAATAGTGTATCTTGCCCAAATTGTGTTGCTGTAGCACCCCAGGGTGACCAGATGTTCTAACCACAAAGGAAGAGAAGGCACCACAAAATGTAGGGCATTCAAGAAAAATGTAGAACATGACCAAATAAAAGCTAAGAACACTCAAGTCATGCTCACAATGGAGGACATTTTGAAATTCCTCCTAGACAGAAGGTTGAAATGTGTGTCATGTCCTGGAAAAGGAGGACATCTGGTCGCCCCGCTCTTCCCTGCCCCTTCATAAAGAGAAATCTTGTCTGAAATCCTAAATCAAGGCTAAGTTGTGTAACTGTTTGCATCCGGACTTGCAAGTTGACTGTGTTGCAGATTCCTGGTATTATGATGATGGCTGGTGGTTCCCATTGTTGGTGGGGTGGTGACTCCACTCCAGGTTTTAGTTCAGACTATAAAGAATTCAAGTGCTGAATACTATCTCCAAAATAGGTTCAGCACCTGGAAGAGCCCCATTTAAAACTATGCAAAACCTGGGCTGGATCCCCTGCCCCACTGATGTGGGAGCCACCAGATGCCACTGTTGCATTGAGTCCACAGTGCTATGAAACTATATATGCAACAAAAGGGTACTATGGTATCTGTTTCTGCAGGGGTAGATGGATGTGCATTGGCAAAGGACGTGTTTCCTTGTACACGATATAACCACATGTGCAGCTCCACATCTGTGAACTGAATGTGGACATTATGCATTGGACAAAAACTTCTGTATGTCTATGACACCACCTTGAGTCTTATTGCTGTCTTCCACACACGCAGAAGGCACCTCCAGACACAGGTTAGGTCTCCTCTGGCAAAGGCCAGGCACTTCATCCCAGTCTTTTTACTGCTGGTCAAGCACTTATTTGTTGCATTAAATGTATTCAGAATGTCTCTATATGTCTTGAAGCAAGTATGGAAGCAAAGCCCCCATGACTAAGAGGTTAAAATAATAAAAATACAGCTAATTAAAATGAGAGAAAACATTTAAAATAGCTAACCATAGAAAGTCAGCATGGTGTCGTGGTTTGAGTGTTAGACTACAATTTTGGAAACCAGGGTTCAAATCCCTGCTCAGCCAAGCAACCTACTGGATGTCCTTGGGCAAAGTCACCCTCTCTCAGCCTCAGAGGAAGGGAAACCTCCTCTGAATAAATCTTGCCAAGTAAAACCCCTAGTGTTGTTTGCCGTTTTGTTGTTTTACCAAATTATTATTATTGTTGCCACTGCTAGGAATAGTAATAGCTCCCTGCTTCACAGTTTTGTAAACCTGTGTTGATGTGTTAAATAGACATATAAAATAATTGGGCTGGAGTAGCATACTAAATATTCCTTGGAAGAATGGGCCTGAAAGCCATTATGGTGTAGTGATTTGAGCATTGGAGAGCAGGGTTCAAATAGTTTGGCCATGAAACCAATTGGGTGACCTTGGGCAAGTCACACTCTCTCAGCCTCAGAGGAAGGCAATGACAACCCCTTCCCTGAACAAATTTTGCCAATTTTTTGCCAAGACAACTCCATGATAGGATCAGGGAGACCATTCACACCATACAATTATAGCACTATTATTCCACTCTAAGTGCCATTGTTCCATCCTATGGAATTCAATTCAATTCAATCCAATCTTGATTTACCATCAATAGACCCAGCGAGACATGCTATACCTTAAAACCAGATAAACTGTAAAGGTTATGTACAACTTAAAACCATATAAAATAGAAAGGTTTCATACAAGATATCAGTAGTTTACATAAAATGAAATTATCAGATTGGGTTATAACACTGGAGATTATTATTGACTATATAATCATCCTATGGAATGCTGGGACTGACAATTTGATGGTGATGCACCAGAGGATCTTCCTAGCTGAAAACTCTAAATGCCCCTCTTTAAACTACAAATCCCAGGATTCCATAGGACAAGGCCATGGCAGTTAAAGTGGAATAATAGCACTATAATTACATAGTCCTGCCACAATTATGCTAGTTGAAGAATGGAAGCATACCGCTTCAGCATCATTCCTTATCACACTTTCCCCTTTAACAGTGCTTTGGTGATCGATGGTCGCATGATCTGTTTTCCGCACTGCTAAATGCCACCTTCAAGGAGGAAAATGAATGATCACGGCCACCAGCAACCTTCCAAGGCTAACGATAGAAAACCAGCATGGTGTAGTGGTTTGGGTGTTGGACTACAACATTGGAGACCAGGGTTAAAAATCCCTTCTCAGCCATGGCAACCTACTGGATGGCCTTGAGCAAAGTCATCCTCTCTCAGCCTCAGAGAAAGGCTGAAAGTGCACACAACTTTGGGAGGGGTTTGGGGGCTGCAATTGCCATGGGAAGGAAGGGAAAGAGGAGGAGAAGAGCAGATTCACACCACCTTACTGCCTGAGAAGCAGAACTGCAGCAGAAGGGCCCTATTGCATAAAGGCAGTTATGGAATAGCAGAAAAATTGAGAGACTGTTGATGGGTTTTGCTGACCCTTAAAATGTGCACTACAGTAACAAATGAAATGCAATGCAGCAGCAGGACGGACATGACAGTGTGTGATAAGTACCACTCAAAGATGTTTTTATCCTGTTAAACTTCCACTTTTATAGTCTCATCTGATAAAGTCCAAAGTGTGAATTGTCCCAGAGTTGACCTGAAAGCATGTAATAACTGTAACAGCAAAATGGGTCCACCACAAGCAGAGACAATTTTTCCTCTCAGGTACCACCACCAGAGCCAGGGTGGTGTAGCAGTTTGAGCGTTGGACTATGACTCTGGAGACCAGAGCCTGATTCCTCACTCATCTACTGGGCAACTTTGGGCAAGTCACATGCTCTCAGCCTCAGAGGAAGGCAATGGCAAACCTCCTCTGAACAAATCTTGCCAAGAAAACCTTAGGGTTGCCATAACTCAGAAACAACTTGTGTGTTGAAGGCACATAACAAACCACTGGCAGGGCTCAGGGTTTAATGTGAAGTTTTAGGGTTTTAGGTTCCTCCTTAGGGACTCTGAGGAAAATGCCAGTGTGAGCAGATTCCACCTAAACATTTGGGGGTTGCAGACTGCCAGAAATAGTGTAAATTGAGTCCACTTAAAGGGTTAGGGTTAGGGTTAGGGAATCATGGGGACTGTATTTTATTGTGGCACCAGAGCTCTCTGACAGAGAAGGCTCAATGTCTCAGAAAAAAACAACAATTCCCATGATTCCCTAGCATTAACCCTAACCCTAAAAGTGGACTCAATTTGAACTATTTCTGGCAGTCTGCAACCTCCCCCTTATGAAGAACTTTCTGATGTTAAGAGCTGTCCAACAGTGGAATATAGTGCTTTGGAGTCTGATGGACTTTCCTTCTTTGAAGGATTTTAAACAGAGGCTGGATGGCTATCTGTCGGGAGTGCTTTGATTGTGTATGTCTGCATGGCAGAAGGGGTTGGACTGGATGCCCTTGTGGTGTTTCCTAATCCTATGATTCTTTAGAGTAATGGGAATGGACTACCTTCTGAATGCTTAGCTTTTACAGCAGTTACCTACTTTATTCTGGAATGCTAATTTTAATTCATTTGTGTCAAGAGCAGGGATCCTATTGCCTTGCAGATATAATTCCCAGCAGTTTCCACTATTTTCTCTGGTGGCAAGGGTTGATAGGAGGTGCAGTTCAACAACATTGCGAGGGCCATATGATTAAAAAATGCTAACCACCACGAAGCAAGGTCAAACACCTACAAACACAATCCTAAAAGAATGTACTCAGTTTTGTTGCTGAAAGTTCAAACTGTGTAGGTCTTTGTTTTTTATACAGATGTTACGTATTTGCAAAGACTGCAGGCACTTAGTGGTATGGCTGTGTTCAATCTTCAGAATATAGTCTTGAAATCATGGTTGTTTCTGCTTAGTCTGGCAACGGTGGTAGCCTGGAAAGTGCCAGTGGCACCGCTTGCTCCTGAATAAGTGCTCTTCCACCTGGCTGATTATCAGGTGCCTTGGCTTTCCTATCTGTGAAATGGAAAGATATAGTTGAACAGAACTTGGTGCCTGGAACTGAGAAAGGAGAAGGAAGAAGAGGAAGAAGAGTCACTATAGAGATGTACAGCTCCTGGGAATGGCTATTCAGAACCAGAGCAAAATTGCTGACAGGCTTGCCCAAGGAGGTGAATTTTTGGTTTGATGGATTTTGGCTGCGCCTTCTAGACTGTGTGCAATCTCTCTCACCCTTCCAGCCCAGAGGAGATACAGGCAGCATCTCAATGAATGTTCCTCCTTGAAGAAGTCTCTTTCCTCTCCCCCCTCCCTTCTCTTGCTGTGCATGTGTGTGTATGTGCATGCATGCATGCATGCATGTGTGTCTAGCTCCATTTCTCTCTCTCTCTTCTCTTGGAAGGGCTCCAGTTGCAAATGTGAAAGAAGGCTTATTCCAGCTGCTAACTGGGATCTTGGCATGATCAGGATGGATTCCCTGTTATGTTCTGTGGGGTGTTAAAATTGCTTAGACAGAAGAGGAGGAGGAGGAGAGGACAGACGTGGGCTGAGGAAGCCATGGCTGCTGCCTAAAAAAGCACACACTCACACACACACAGAGAAGGTGAGAGACGCAACGGCGGACTGGGGGAAAGGATGGTGTTGGCTTGGGTTGGGGGAAGAGAGAAATCTGCCCCCCCCCGCTTCCATCCCTTCCATCATGTGTCAAATGGGGTTTCCCCCCTTCCAGTTCATCAGTTCTCTTCTTCATCCAGGCATTGTTGGAGCTTTGACAATTGGGATGCTGTGTGTGGAAGTGGATGCATGTGACAGTCTGTTTAAAGAGCCCTGTTGCTAAGTGACACTCTTTGGGTGGTGGTGTGTGTATGTTTTGTATGTGTGTGTATACACTCACACAAACACAGATGCTTGTCTGCTGATTTCTCTTTGCAGCAAAATTGGTCCCACTGATTCCGTCGGCTATGGAGACACAGCGGACCACTTGGATATGTGGCTTATATGGGGCTGGGGAGCAATGGGATGGTTGGCTTCAAGGGGCCGATGGCAGGAGGATTTTGCCCCTGGATTCACAGGACCAGTGGCCATGGGGCTAGTAAAGCTGAGCCGGTTGCTTTGAATTGCCCTCCACTTGGAGTGACATGGCTGCCCTGTCCTAGGCATGGAGGTTCACTCCACTTTGAGCTAGCTGAGAACATGCCAATGGAAAAGGCTAGTGAGGATGCAACCTTTCCTCCACAATGCAGGGAGAAAAATTGGGGAGGGGCATGTCCCCAGGTGCTTTTATTATGACTGACAGTCTGGATTGATTTGATCTGTAGTAGAATAACCAGATATGCAGGGAGAAGTGTGTGTCTATATGCTCATGTACAACTCTTGCTGTTTGGAGCAAGGATATTTCCTTGTCACAAATCTAACCTCTCTCCCCCCCCCCAAAAAAAACCCCTGATTATTTGCTCAAAGGAATTGTACAAATATGCAGAGTGTGTTGATATCTAGTTCTGTTGTGTAAAGTTCAGGATCCCTCATTCATTCCAGACAGAGCATTTCAGTTTTAAGATGCCCTTGCCAGAGAGGAACACAGGGATAGGAAGGTATAAAAAGAAGAAAACATTTAGACAGATAGGACTGGCTCCCATGGCAAATGCACACACACACACACACACACACACACACACACACACCTGTCTGTTGGGGAAATGGGAACACAATTTTCGCCCATGCTGAAGTCCAGAAGCCAGCACAAGAGCCACACACATTTTTCTCATTATGCACAAAAATGCAACGATTGAAATAATAATTGCCAGCGAATATTTGTGCCTATAAAGCATCATTATGTAGTATCCTGAGAAAATCACTTTAGAACAAGAGTTCTGTTCCTGGTTTGTTCTTTGATTCTTGAACATAAGTTTAAGGAATTTATTGTCCTAATGAATTTTCTACCGTGATTCAGTCAGCAGCTGTATCACATTGTAATGAGACTGAAACTTGCATTCGTATATATTCTTCTTAAAGATGTACTCAGATGTAAAGATCACTAAGGGGGGTTGCAGACTGCCAGAAATAGTGCAAATAGAGTCCACTTTTAGGGTTAGGGTTAGTGCTAGGGAAT